AAATGAACAGGGACCAGAAGAAAAACAAAATAATATTGTACGTAAATACGTAAATACCGGTAATCAAATTTTCAGCTTTAGAAAAGTTGGCAGCTAGCCAATAATGAGAATAGAAGCCATGTTTATGGGTGTAAAGCAACACAATAAATAAACAAATTGCATAATTGAGTGTTTTACTGTGATACATGATACAACCACAGTCCCTCTATCACGATAGAGGGACTGTGATACAACCAAAATTAGCAGTTGCCAAACTACGCATATCTGAACGACGTTTTTTTTTCTTTGATGCACCGCAAAATTGACTACTTTGTTATTTAAACATAAATAAACAGATATCGCGTTAACAACGCTGTGTCGCCACCCACGAAAACATAGTCATATACCAGAGACTAGAAGGGTTGTACAAACCCGTTTGTTTACATAATCATACCGACCAGAAAATCCGTGGAAAAAATAAATTTCATCTAGTATTACTTGCTAGGCAGAGTAGCTTGTCACCGACGGCTGAAATGCAAATTTTTTAACACAAAAATGCAGAAATGGTAAAAAAACTGGGTTAGATAACGCAGATCGAAACCACCAGCGCCAAGATAAAGAGGCTGATTTCGGCTGAGGGTGCCATCGCGCTACCGCTTGGCGCACGGTGGTGCGGGCTGGGTCCATGAACACTGTCTGACCTGTCTTCACTGGTCCCAACCTGTAGCGACCCTCCTCCATAGATTGGAGGTCTCTCAAGTAGTAGTTAATGAAGATCTCCAAAACCCCGCTCAAAGCACCTGTTAGAGGGAGGCACCAGACATCAAGGCCAAAGAGTTGGCTACCCCGCACACTTTGTGTGCCATCACCTAATGTCACTCCAAACTGGTCGCTGAAGATGCCGTTAAAGTGTACGCTTCCACGACCGTATCGACAATCCACCGTGAAATGGTGATATTCAAGGCAGGACAGTATTGCTTGCCCCGCCCATAACAGACAGACAAACATGTGCTTCTCGCTACCAACTGAGTCTCAACTCAGAGCTCGGACAGGACATAGAATCCGTTCCTGGCAGTTCTCCATGCCTACTATGTTAGTAAGGCGTGGGATGACGATCGGTTCAGGATTATGTTCTGGGATTTGATTCTTGGCAAGATAGCTTATCTGAGTCTTCAAAACAACTTGCAAGTTGCCTCTATCTCTGAACACTGCCTACCTGACGCCAGAGCCAAGAGAAAAAAACTGTTTTTATAGTGACATATTTCATGTCCACCTCTCTCATAGGCTTGAAGGGGGGGTTGTCATAGCGCGGCCAGGACCAACAAGTCCCAGTCTGAAGGATTTGTTAGCCCTTTGGTGCACGGCCTCTTCGAGCAGAATGACAGTTGTTGCATAACCGAACTCGAGGCCAGTTTCAGTTCAGCAGATTCTGATAAGACTGGGAACAAAACTGACCGATATCCAAGAGTTGTTGTTATAGATTTTTCTTGATGAAATAAATACAAGCACAATCTCGCTACCTCGCTAATAGAGGGACTGAGATGATCAATCTCCCTTCCAATACACCAATCAATGTAGAATCTCCATCTGGACTCATACAAACGTCTGTAGCCATCTGCCAAAGCAAAGAACTTGGACAACTCTACAGAAAAGCTTTGCGCTTGCACAAGTTTATCGAAAGCCTCCATGCGTGAAGATGGAATAATGTGGGGCTCATCCAGAGAGTGCCATCTGGCTGGGACAACAGATCCGGAAGATCCAGCAACTCCAATAGGGACTCGAATAGAAGGTCCAGCAACATTGGGAACCAGACTTTCACTGGCCAATTGGGCACCACCAGTGTCAGAAGGCAGGTGGGCTTGAGTCGCACTTTCTCCAACACTTGGTGCACTAGTTGGAAGGGTGGAAAGGCATAAGCATTCATGTGACTCCTAGAGATCGATAGAGTGTCCGTTGCAAAGGCGCTCATCCCCGGGAGAAGTGACACATAAGTCGGGAGCTTGGTATTCTGGTGATTAGCAGATCTATCCGGGGGCCGCCCCAGAGACGAAAAAGCAATCCGCCACCCACTGGATCTGCCACTCTGTGTTCTGAAACTGAATTTGTCGCGAGAGGTTGTCCTTGGTGCTGCTGTGTATCCCTGGAAGTTGGTGAGCCGTTAGCTCCACTTGGTTCTCCAGGCACCAAAGGAGGATTTCCTCTGTTAGCTTCCACAACATGGGGGAATGCGCCTTGTTAATGTACGATGCTACTGAGGTGTTGTCTGATTGAAGCAGGACTCTGTGGTGGTGTGCGACCTCCTGAAAATTTTCAGAGACAGTAGGACGGTCTGCAACTCCAGCCAATTGATGTGGCGGCCCACATATGTGGCCAGCCACGTACCTTGGACTTGAAGGTCCATCAGATGGCCGCCCCACCCTTGGAGCAACGCATCTGTAATGGGAGTCACTGAGGAAGCCATTGGATGTAGGGGCACTCCCCTTTCCAAGTTCCCGGCATCCTTTCACCAAGGGACAGCCTCCAGAACTTGGTCCGACAATTGAACCCTGAACATCAAATTCCACATATGGGCAGTGTGGTTGAGTAAGCACCTATGAATCGGACGAGACCGGAGAGCTGCTGACGGAACTAGACAATGAACTGAAGTTATTTTGCCAATAAGACACATCAGTTCGCGAATAGAAGCCAATCCCGTCGGCAGGAGTTGGCTGGCCAGCTCCACAAGGGAGTTGCACCGTGCCTGAGCGGAGCGGACAAGCCCTTGCTCTGTGTCTAACTACCGTACTTCCGCGAGTATAAGCCCACCCTCTGTTTTTAGACATTTGACAGGTTGAGGGTATCCTTGAGTATAGGCCCAGGGTGTTTTACCGGGAGTCAACAAAATTTATTACAAATATGCATGCGAACGTACGGAACATGGTTCGCCGAGGCACCTTTTCTATTCTGTTATTTACTCAGGATGAACCCCGATGTTGCAATACTGAAGTAATCCATATGTTATTTGAGTAGTAGTTTTAGAAACGCCAAAAATGTGATCGTCAAGTCGTGAAACCTGGGCATTGAACATCGTTTTACTTTTCCGAATAATCCATTGAGACTTTCATGAATGGAATGTGAACGAGCAAACTATTCTTCGACATGACTTGCTGGCG